GACAAAAATAGAGGATACGTGTTTTTGGAATTTGTTGTTTGTTGCAATGTTTATTAGATATATAATTTAAAATCACCTCCTGTGAAGAGGGGCAATCAGCATTTTTATTAAAAATATCATTATTTTTACAATCTTTTACTATATTTTAGACATTTAATACCTCTTCATATCAATTAAATTAATTGATTTCTCAATAATTATTGTAAGCGTTGCAGGTATGAGCGTGACGCGGTTATGATCAACACCGCGCCGTAAGGAAGATAGGCTTTTATGGCCAATATTGTTAAAAAATGATTTAATTTAATTCTATTTTTGTAGTTTCTTAAAAAATCCCAATGTTTCCAAAAGTTCTAAATATTTTATTTAGATTGAAGACTTTACAGTAAAAGTATATTGAAAGTATAAAAGCAGTATTGGGCTATTTTCACCCCTTCAATGTGAACGATGGTCGATAAAAAAAAATACGTGCCAAATATTTTCTTGAGAACTATCTTTCACATAAGTTTCATTAAAATCGGTGTGTCGCGGTTCGATATGTTTCCTTGCTAGTTTTAATTTAAAAGTTAGCGTGCATTTAACATCGGTCTAGCATTTAGAAGTTTTTGTAAAAACGTATTTTAACTTCTGACGAAATATAGTATAGTTTTATAAGCTAGTTGACGTATATCCTCTTATCTATTGATTTTTTCTTTTAGTTTCCATTTAAAAGTAAGTAATAAAATCTAATCATTAGTGTCATTAATTATGGTCTAGCGTTGATGCAGATATATCAAATCAAGTATTTGTGGATTTGTGTACTTATAGTACAGCCAGCATCTTATCACTAGTCACGAAAAAACTCAAAAAAGGAAAGTTTGAAAATTTGAAGAAATAAAATTTAGAAATTCAGGAATTTGGAAATTTTTAAGTTTTAAAAATTAGAAATTTTTAATTTCAAAGACTTGAAGATTCTAAAATTTAGAAATTTTTGGAATGAATGAACTTGAAACTTTTAGGTTTAGTGCTTTGACCAGTTAAAATTTTATAAATTTTAGAATTTAAAATTTTAATATTTCATATCTGGAACGTTTGGGAATATAGAAATTTGTAAAAATAAAAATTTAAATGTTTAGGCATTTTTAGATTAGCAAATTGGAAAATTTGTAAATTTGTAAATTCGTATTTTAAATACAGAAGTTTTATATATTTGTAATTATATTTTCATATAAAAATTGATAAAGGTAAGTTAAAGAACGTCATTTAAAAAATACCATAATAGGTGTACTGAAATGTTAAATGGACTTCGAAATTGGGGATACCAAAATACAGATAAAAACATCTGGCTTTCATTTTATTAAACAAATCATAAAGATTTAATATTTTGTATTTAATAAAAATTACTTTATAAAAAGAAATGGTTTAATAATAAATTTTGATTTTAAAAACATGCCTTTCAAATGACAACACTTTTAAATTAATATGTGATTATGCAAACTGACTTAAATCCGCTGTAATTGGCATACATACCCTAAGGACTATTTTTCAGTATTTTTATTTCATTAAATCATGTTAGATTTTTTGTACTTTCGAATGCCAACACTTAATTCCGTAAATTGTAGTCCTAATTCCCTTTCATTTATTTACAAATATAAACCTATAAGTAATTTTTCACTTATACTACTGAGAATTTTTTCAAATTCGCAAAAAAAATAAAGTATACCTACTTCTTATCGGATTTATATATCAATATTAATGTATTACAATGGATACTAATTGCCCACCTATGTTACATAAAATCTCTGTTTAGATAATGTTAAAATTAATACTTTTGCTGTTTCACATTTCGCCTTTGAATTCTGAATAATTTACAAAAGATTATATTGTTTTAACTAATTCTTTGTATAAGTGAAAATAATTTGTATAGTAGTTTAAATAATGGGGAACCTATTATAGCCCATACAGAGTTCCTCGTTTATGTGCAACATCCCCGAATATCTTTCTTTGACTACAGTATTCTCTCCGTAAATGTTAAAAAGATCTCTACCGTAAATGTTAAAATTCTATCCCCACTACTGGGGGGATCTCCCTCGAAGGCAGTCAAGAATGAAACACGTTCAGTCGCCGAAACGACAAGGATCGAATATCGGTGAGACATATCCTAATGCAAGCAAAGGAAAAGATTGCAACTTTCTTATTTCTTACTATTTTTTCATGAAACTTTTACTATCGTATTCGTCTAGTTTTTCTGATTAAAATGACACCAAACACGATATGATTACGATCGTAATTACTTATGTAACAAGCCACAAAAGTTTCGGGCTTTCACACTTACGGCAAACTTTACATGTACGGCAGAGATACGAATTCCACCTAACGGTTTGCTATACAAGTAATTATGATTTTAATTGTACCGTGTTTGATACCATTTTAATCAGAAAAAAGAGACGAATACGATAATCAAAGTTTCATTCACGAAACACCAAAAATAAAGAATTTTGATTTTTGAATTTAAAAGACAGAACACGCACGAGACTTTCATGTTTGCCGAATCTCAGCCCCTCTTTGTTTTTTGTGTTGCTGTCTCTTTCTATGTTCGGCTCACTACAAAGAATGTAATACATTGTACCTATTCCATAAATGTTAAAATCGAGACCGGCAGTTGTAACATTTACGGAGAGAATACTGTATTTACTGTACATTTCGAGCGAAGGAGACTGAACGTAAACAAACAGTGACCTATCGGTAGGATATTCCTAATGCAAGAATAAAACATTTTTATTTTTGATTTTTTTTTGAAATTTTCTCCATCATGTTTCTAACATTTTTCTCATTAAAATGAGACCAAACACGACGTACTTCGGGACATATTTACTTGTAATTTCAAATATTATGCGTACATCGATGACTTTACTCCAATAAGATATTGCAAGTAAATATAACTCAAATTACGTCGTGTTTGGTCTCATTTTAGTCAGGAAAATGTCACGAATATCATAGAGAAAGTTGTATAAAAAAATGGATGAAAAATAAACAAGTTAGCAATGCTTAAGCATTGCAAGCAATTGAACAGACTTTTGATCTTTGCCGATTGCCACGACCGCAGTGTCTCTGTCTTCTTTACTCGCTATCTTCCTTTGCGTTAGAAACATTTATCGTCAATTAAACCAGTAAATATAGTCCAAATTATATAGTGTTTGGTCACATTTTAATCAGGAAAATGCGAAAAATCTATTCGTAAAAGTTTGATAACGAAAAAATAAAAAATAAAGTTTTTTATTTGCATTGGTATTGTCTCACGGATACACTAACAAGGGACATCACCAAGGTGTCACACGCGGATTTTAATGAAATTGACATATGTTGTAGCTTTTTAAAAATCATTAGACACGTATTTTTTTATATCTGCGGACATCCATGTTGAGGGGGTGAAAATAGCCCTCAAAGTTGGGGGTTGAAAACACATTTTCTTTAATATCTCGGAAACTAGAGGGTGTAGGAAGGTGAATTTTTTTTTTTAAATTGTGTAGTTTTTAGTCAGGAACTTAGTTAGTGACAAATATTTCGGGAGAAATTATTTATTTAAACAATATATTAAAAAATTGGACTTTTTTTTCAGTTTTTCACCCTAAATGCAGTTCGATTTTTTTGCAGCTTTGTATACTAAAGATATGGATCAAAATAGGGGATACGTGTTTTTGGA